TAAAATGGGGCACTTGCTGTGCGTTTCAATGTGGAATTTAAATTGTGAACCATTTGGAGCAAGCCCAACTAATTTGTCTCTTTTCTGTCCACAGGCTTTGCATCTTCTACAGAATGGCCAAATTGACTGCAACAAGGTAAAATTGCCGCATTTGAATGCATCAAACTAAATCCCAAATGTGTCAATTCTCATTTCTGTCTACGCAGGCTCACCTCGACAGAATGACCCTTAAAATGGCCGCCATCCTGTGGCGTTTTGGGCCCTGGCTTCACAAGACTCGAGCAGATCTTTTACATGTCTTCCAAATATCTGTGTGCTAAGACACGCTTGGAAGGTTGAATATTTAAAAGTCAAGAGCTAACGTTACCGTGTCTTTCAGGCCACCATGCTGTCGAAGAAGCGTCCAGCTCTGCTCTCTTCACAAGTAAAGCAAACATTTTCCCACAGGTGCACATGTGAGAGTACTCGTAATTAAATCAGCAGGTGATTGACTAAAGATTGAGCACAGGTGTCAAATCCAGAAATCTGAAGAGTTTGATTTAACCACAGAACCTCCGACTCAACCAGCTCCTCTGGTTGAGTAGGCGCACCTGTGGCTAAAATCAAACATGGCGGGGCTCTTTTTTGGCCTTCGCACACTCATCGAAATGATCAGATGGCTGTCTGGCTTTCTCAGACCTCGCTGATTGTCTGATCATTTCAATCTGGTGTGTTGTACCAAGGGTCAATGGGGGAGGGGAAACGGGCGGGAGAGTGACCTCTGGGAAGTGAATTGAAGGCGCATGCTCAACGTGCATGTTTTACTGCTCTCGTCCACCAGGTGGTGCTAAAGAACCAGATACACCTTGTGAACTCGAGTCGTCCCCTTCGACGTTTGGACCTGTTGCAAAATTTCAAAGTCCTTGAACTGTTGGTTGGAGGCGGGCCCTGAGGAAACATGGCGTCATGATCCACCTGATGTCATACACGCTGTCAGGTGATGGAAGCTACAACCAAAAAGCACCACATACTTTATTTTCAAGCACACTCACCTGCTTTTTCTTTGACTCTGCATGCAGTGCAGCTTCCAGTCAGTGCTGTCAGAGACCTCCACCTGCTGAGCAAAGAGACAAATGCGACACGCTTGTAGCAGGTCATCACTGCTGCCTCCATTTTCAACGTTGCCGTTCAAAGGTATGAAAAAGGAGCTTGATGGGTCTCGTTTGTGGCATTGGCAGGTTTGATAGCCTTGGATTTGCCACTGGACCAGTCGCAGCTTGGCCTGTTGGTGCTGATGATGCTCACAGTGTTGCAGCCAAAGATTCCAGTCTCCAGCAAATCAACACTTGAAAATGAAGAGCTCGTGAGGCAGCAGCGGGGAGAGTAAAAGGGAATGACGTTTTTGGTTAGTAATTGGTGTCTACTCGCCTGTGCTTTGTCATCCAGATGAGCCAGTGGAATGTGATGAGGAGAAACGTGCATCTGAGCCATCTGCTGGTGAGAAGTCACATTCCATTTCAACAATCATGTTTTCATTATCTCTGCAGAGTCGAAGAACTGTTCTTGGGTCCACAACGCCGCATGGGGAAGTGACCTGCTCACCGCCAGAGTCCACCAACGAGCACAGATCTGCAGGCCACACTTTCGCTTTTCATCTTACTGTTATTTGCAAGGTGCTGCAGCCTGAAAAGTAGATGTCTACACTTTGAATGTACCAGCATGGCTACTTTTTGACTTTGTTTTTATCCCCCACCCCCTGACAGAAGCAGCAGTGAACATGATCGGCTTCCTGCACAAAAGACCCAACAACTTGTCTCTCTTGCTGGTAAGTTTCATGCCAAAAACATCTTTGTCTGCACAAGAAATTGACTTGCGTGTTACTCATGGATGTCTTTCCTCTCAGGTCAACGCACCTGTCCTCCGTTCTTCTCACAAGCCAACCACTTCGCCACCCAGCGACGAGCAGACTGCCATCCAACTTGCAACTTTTTCCTCTGCTTTGTGATTGTCTGTTCTGCAAAAGAAATAAAGCTTGATTACAAAGAACACTTGAACTCTCAACTTCATTCTTAAACACATCACAAAAATATAACTTAAAACAATTTAAAACTTTTAACCAAAAAAAAAAAAAAAATTCCTGTTTTTTTTCCAAAAAATTTTTTTCAATTTATTTTTCAAAATTTTTTTTCCAAAAATTTTTTTCTGGATTTTTTTTCCTGGGCAGAAAAATCGAGGAAAGTGGGTGTGGCATAGCTGGAATGATGGCTCATGATTCGCTGATGGCTGTGAAAGTGGGTGGAGCATGGCAATAACATGCTGCGATTGGCGGAAACGAGGGTGTGGGTATGCAAATTAGGTGCGCTGTGATTGGCTGGCTCTTTAGGGGGCGTGGTTATGTAGATTTGGAGCGATCTGATTGGTCAGATATTGGAAAGTGGGCGTGGTTATGCAAATCAAAGCGATCTAATTGGTTATGCAAATTTATGCAAATGAGAGCCTCGACGTGATTGGTGGATGTGAAATTGGGTGTGGTTTGGGCAGGCTTTGCAGAAAAATTTCTAAGTCCCACTTGAGTTTTGAGGTGAGAGCTGCACTTCGGTCACACCAGACAGCCTTTTCACTGTTCCCGTCGGTTCCACATGACCCAAAAGGTCAATTCTTGGAGTTTCCAGTCATGTGGAGACCAACGGGACAAGCACTGTTACACTTGTGGCCATACCAGTGACTGATGCGCAACTCTCTCCTCAAGACTTAAGTCTTTGAGAAGTCTTCCGCTGCAGTGACCACTCAGCATGAAAGGCTTTGAGTGAGTTGAGGATGGACTTAGTCATGGAAGGCAAAGACTCGAATTCAAGTTCAACAATTTATTGGACAGAAAAGCAAACAGGACAATGTGAAAGCATTTTACCAGTCAATGTTTGCGTGGGCCAGTTCAAGTTGCACACACACAAACACTGACGACAGGCCCGAGATGGGAGCAGCTTAAGTCTTGCATGTGCTTGACCAGCTCATGTGTGATGTCACATCTCATGACCCACCAAGGTGGACATGAGCACGTCTGACTTCTCTCACTGAGACAAAAACTAAGTGCTGTGTACTCCACAACATCATGATCACACTCTTCTGGTTAAGTTTTTAAATGACATTGAAGTGGGCCAAGTTAGTCATTATAATAATGACTATGTGATAATTAAATAAATAAATAAATAACCAATTAAAAAAACATTTTTTTTAATTATATATATTTATATATATATATATATAT